TACCTTTTTCTAATGGATTTTTTAGGTGCATTCGTAGTTCTACATTATAAGGTTGTATCCTTATATAAACTTTTTCCTTATTCTATAGGTTGTATAGATTACATCCCCAAAATCTAAAATCTAAACAGTAGTCCCAGGTATTTTGCCTGAGGGAGTAAATGCATGGTATACTCCCACGGAAGTAAGAAATCATTTGAGTTATGTGAATATAAAGATGTATCCTCATCACCGTGGGCTGACTAGGAAAGAAAGGAGTTCATGGCCATCCACGTCCAACTTCGACATGTATAAGTTTGTGGACGTGGAGAGTTGCCCAAAGAAAGGAATGGGTTAACATGGTTTGAAGCCACATGGATATGATGTGCTTGTCTGAAGCAAGAATAACGTGGCTCCTGATTTTTTCGTTGTTTTTCCTAGGTGATAAGAACAACGTGAGTTCCTTCTATAGTGAGTGGAAAATTATAGACGAAGATCAATCATAGAATTAAGTATGGAGAAGATTTAAAAGTTGTCCAAATAGTTGTGAAGAGACCCTACGACGAATATCAATCATAGAATTAGTATGAAGAAGTTACAAATATGGATAAGGATTTTCGAAAGGAAAAAGTTTTTTCAAGGTTGCGAAGTAAGGTGCACCTCAAAAATCTAATTAGATAATAGCGTTCTAAAGTTGAAAACAAGGTGTTCTAAGGTTTGCATGTCGACTCACTTAGACACTATGTTTGTTTATGATGTAAATTGAAGAGATTTTTAGAAGAAAATCCCTCAGATCAGTACCATAAACTGATTTTTTAAAAAGTGATAAAGAGTGAGACAATTAAATTCTGATCTGAGGCCAGACCTACTAAAAAGTGAGCAAATCTTCTTTGAGATCAGTGGTAGAGCCATCATTGATCCGAAATACGAAATACAACATAAAATGCAATAAAACTAATTCAATTCTAATAAAATAAACAAAAAGAAAAAGACACACAAGAAAAGAATAAAAATGTATCAGACCGAGCCAGTTGGCTCAGGGCTCCCGATGTTTTGATGCCTCGCCCGTATCATTACCGGTTGAGTTTATGTCGTGCGTCCTATTTGTTTCTCTTCACGTTTTGACTAGGCTTTGGCTTGGTTGAGTGGATCTCTTAATCTAAGGGTTACAGATGGGCTAAAGTTAAGGTTTTCCTAGGTCCAGGTTTTTTTTATTTCTCAAGTCTCACAATCTTAAAGTTTTCTCTGGGCAAATAAGATAATCAGTTCCAAAGAGTCTACTCTAAAATGATCTGGAAATGATTTTTTTATAAGTTGAAAATCGTCTAGAATGGGTAACATGCCATAGCCAGAAGATTTTTCAGCCTGGACTGCCGTTTTGGTAGTCCAATGCTTGGGCAACACTACAAGTGTCACCCATACCCAAATGGTCCAGATTCATTAGACCTGGCCAAAAATGCTTCCGGAGGGGTTGGCATGCGGAAACTACCAATTTGGGGCAGCCAGGTCTGGGCGACACTGGTAGTGTCACTCAGACCAAATCTGCCCAAAATTATAAAATTCCAGTTCTGGTGGGATCTACAGACTCTTGTGATGTTGCCTGCCAAAATTTGGGTGAAAACGAGGTATTTTGCCATTTTTAATGATTTTTTTACTAGAACATGGTATTCTGTAGAATTCTAGATCACATGGCAGGCAGTATGGACTATGGTGGTTTATGGTTTAGTGGTTTACTAGGATAGTGTAGTCCTAAGGGTTCAAGAATATCATAGAATTTATCAGTTTTAAAAATGGGGTGTCTACAATTGCTCATCTTTGCCACTACGTGTCCTTCAAGGGATAGGTGAGTGGCAAAGAAGTAGACACTCTTTAACGCTCCCAGTCCTTCAAAGAACACGTGAGTGGTAAAGATAATGCAGACATTTTAAATTTCATCCTGACGTTTCGGGGTCAGAGGGTACACCAACTATTCATCCAAGACATTGTGTTCCCCGTTCACCCATTTAAGGCATTTTCATCCTAGGGTTTTCAACATGAGATATCGGTGAGTTACACAAGCTTGAAACTCAAGTTGGATTTTCTGGACATGCCATTTAACTTCACGAGTTGTCCCAATTTCAAATTCTTAAACCCGACATGTTCTTTGATTCCTTTAGGGTTTCTTAAAGTCTTCTACAGGTTTTACTTGTTTTAGGAAAAGGTTTGCCTGGTCAATTATAAAAAGAGAGATGACACGGTAATCATCATATACCAGTGTCTAAGCGCCTTCATTTTTAAAAGTCTTTTCAGAAATTTTGAAAACAAGGGGGGGATTTTGGAACCCGGAGCTTTGGACAGACCACGATTTTAACAAAGAAATTAAAGTTTTTGAAAACACAAGACATATAGTGAATCATTTCGAAAAGAGAAAAATATTTTGAAAAACAAATTTTTAGTCAGTGGTTTTAGCTCCCGCAACCATAAAACCCTCTAAACAGTTTAACATCATGCAATGATGGACAGATACATCCGACCTTTTACGTCATACGGTGCTAGACGGATAGACCCGACCTTTTATGTTATATGGGGCAAGACATTTTTTGAATACGCCCGACCTTTAATATCATATGGGGTTAGATGTTTTCCTGTCTTGACTATTTTTTGTCGTACGAATTTAATGTTTTCTTAATTGTGATTTTGTTTGGCAGTTTAGACTCGTGTCACCATGGAGTATTTGAAAACTTTTGAAAATTAAATGTCTGAAAACAATCTCTTTTTTTTTTCTTTTCTTTTTTTTTTAAGGGCTGTTTCAGGCAACACAGCCTGTGTCGCCCAAAAGAAATTTATTATTATTTTTTAAAGGGGAGGACACCCTCTTGGGCTGGGCGACACTAGTAGTGTCCCGTGTCGCCAAAAAAAATATTATTTTATTTTATGTTTTGAAGGGGAGGACACAATATGTGTCTTCCTGGGGTGTTGCCCGTAAATTTTTATTTTTATTTTTTGGAAGGGCATGGCACCCTCCTATGCTAGGCGACACAAGCTGGTCGCCCAAAAAAAAAAAATTTTTTTTTTTTGGAAGGGGATGACACCCTCTTAGGTTGGGTGACACTACCCGTGTCACCCAAAAAAAAAAAATTTCTTTTTGCTCTACTACCCCAATTATGGGGTGTTTTATTTGTTAATCTTTACGTGTGCAAATAATTCATCAAGGTAGAGGACCACTTATTTGCACACACTTTCGGACTGAATTTTGACGAACTCAGCCCCTCTAGTTATGGGGTTTTTGACCCAAAATTTTGGTTATCGGACCGTCATAAACACATACGGTGATGGATTCACATCTTTCTGCCTCAGGGGATCCAATCGAGAGATAAAACGCTCTCAAACTAGCCAATGTCGTCATTGGCGAAGTTCACCCATCTCCGATATGTGGTAGTTGGCAGTTATACTAATACAACCATGGAGTGCCTGACTCGTTTCAAGCCTTCATAACAGGCATAGGAAGTTGGCTTCGAGAAACGAGGCTAGATCCACTAACAGTTTAACCCCTTGTAGTGATGGAGGAAGTCCTTTCTAGAAAGGGAAGATTTTTTAAAATGGGTGTTTTGAACAATCAATTTGAAAAGAATTTTCAAAGAGGGATGGGCCT